AAAATGCTGCTTTTGATCTTCCATATTTGATGGGACACAAAAAATAAACAATTGCACAAAATCAAACAAAATTTTTTACAAATAAGTCTTAAAATGCTAGCTGTCAAAATATATAATGATAATACAGTTTAGAATGAAAATGGCGGGAAAAATATGACTAATCCGTCTAGTGGTAAAAAAAAAACGAAATTACTTTCTGAACAACCCAATATTTCTGACTAAGTTGATTTGAAAAATTTAGAATTATCAAAACCTTCTGAATTTTCATTTCAATAAATATATCAAGCAGAATTTTGTCAAAATGTCTTAAGTTATCTTTTTAAATTTTGTATTGCAATTAATAAGAACCATTTTTTATTTATTATAATATTATGTTTCTTAGTATTACATTAACTAGATTTCATAAACTAGTATTACATTAACTAGATTTCATCTTAAAAAATTCTTACGATGATGATGATGCCTTTCTTATTGTTCCACTTTTTCTCTTTATACTTGTAATAAGAAGAAGATCTGAAAACAAGAAGAGACAGCGTTCTTTCTTGGTACCAAGACCACCCTAGAAAATAAATTGTTTACAAATTAAATATTAAACTACAAATATAAAATTACATACTTAACATTGTTTTTAAAAAATAATTCTATTTATTTTATTATGAGAATTATTCTTCATAGCAGTAATCAAAATTATTAACAATTTTCAAGCACTTATGTTCTTGAAACATTGTTTCAAGAATATAAGAAAAGTTTTTATTATACAAATAATATTAAATCATTCATTTAAATTAAACCAAATACTAAAGATACATTGAATTTTACAACTGTTCTAATGGTGCATCTTATTTAATATGATATTAACAATGAAATTTAATAATAAAAGAACAAAACTGCAAAAATGAATATTGTTTTAGTCTTCATATTAAATTTTCAATATCAAAATAAAATAATAATTACAAACAAAAGAAAATGAAAATTTTTTAAAAACTAGTTCATTTTTTTTCAGTTTTGTCTTTTTATAAAAGACAAATTTTATTTTTATTTGTAATTTTAATCTTTTGATAATTCTGAAATTATTTAGACAAATTTTTAGCTATTTACCTCATGTTTTTGCAAATAAGACAAAATTTCTATTATTTTGTTATAATTATATTAAAAGAACAAACAAATAAAAACTAAATATATTACTATATAGAAACTAAAATAACTACAGGATTAGAACAAATCTATTCTCAGATTCTAATAAATTTCTCAAAAATAAGTCTTAAGAAAGTTGAAACAGAAAAAAATTCATGTTTAATGTTATAAGCAAACTGCTGCTCATAATAAATATTTAGTTATAGTAAAGAACTGAAAAAAATAATATAGGAAAGTTGGGTATTCGCACCACCCCTAGGAAAAATAAGCTCTTACCAAATACTAATAGAGCAGGTATAACATAAAATTATTCTTAAAACTGGAACTACTAAATAAGTGAAGACAAACTGACTTTTCATATAAAGAAATTGCTTTTTGCCCTTGGTTTAATTAAATTAATTAAAAACCTACTAATGTGAGGTAGAAATAAGGACCTATCACTGGTGTGATAAGTCCTTATTCCTATCTCACATTAGTAGTTTTTAATTAATTTAATTTGACTTTTCATATATTTCACATTTCCAATAACAAAACAATGATGACTCTGGCCCAATATGCATCAGACTCTGGGGTGTCAGTGCAATAGGATGATGTCAAATTAATTAAGAAAACCTTAGCTACTGATAAATAAAAACAAAATTAGTTTCAGTTTAACATCTTTCTTTTACACTATGCTATATCCATTCAAACAAAGTGTCTACTAACAGGATGGCCATTTCTATAAAGAACATTATTGTGTACTTGTCCAGGATGGTCATGAAAAAGTAGCCCTGGTTCATAGATTAGAGAAGCACAGAATAATACTACAGTAATAAACAGAGAAGTCAATTGTTGCTTTCACCATCTGACAGGTGACTGCTGAAAGCAGTCACCTGTCAGATCTATACACAACTGATACATCAATTCATATTTGGGAACATCAAGTGCATCATAGGGACATTGATGGCAGTAATTATGTGGCTGATGTTATCCTACAACACCAATGTTCACTATTGTATTGAGTGAACATTGGTGTTGTAGAATAAAATAACCAAACTTTTAATATCATTTTTATTACATTAATATAGTGGTTCTCAAGCTATAGAGCATGTCTCCATAGTGGGATGCAAGATATTTTCTAGGAAGTACTGTACAAAGAAAATTCATCATTGTGGATAGACTAGACGATGTAATGACTAAAATGTAGTCATTATATCATCCAAATTTAATTTTATTTAGTGGCATGTATCTCTTTTGTTTGAAATATAATTTTGTATTACAAAAAACCATGCAAAAATCTTCATTTTATTAACATAAAGGACATCCTAAAAAAATATAGGCCAGTATGATTTTATAAAAAATATAGGGAACACATGAATTTAAAAAATGGGATGTCCCTTTAAAATGTTTGAAAATCACTTCATTGATAGAATAAATATTTACAGAAGACCATATCCAAAATAAACACTTTTTGTCACTGTTTGTACACTTATTAATATATTCACTGCCTCCATAGTAAGTGATCTCTAGCTGTGTTCTGAATTTTTTTTACATTTTGTTAACTATATGTATATGTATATGTATATGTTAAAAACATTAAGGAAATTATATAAAATTAATATATTCTTAGAAGGGTACAATAAACAAGAAAAAAATTTTTTTTCAAAAACAAATAAAAATTTTTTGAGTGAGAAACAGAAAACTTATGATGTCCATAAGAGGGTCAGTACATGCAGTGTTGCAGTGTAGATTACTCCAAAGCATCACCAGCAATGAATGTGTTAAATAATCTTTCAGCCCATTATTATGCAATTTTTATTTCTTCCACTAATTTGATACAACACTTCAGTAAAGCTTTCATTTTAGTGGCATGAAAATCTGCAGGAGGATGGTTCAGTGAGCAAGGAGGCTATGGAAGTATAGATACAGGTACTAGCAAAACACAAACACTAGAGATGTTTTGCTAAATATTCATTATTAAAACAGAATGATGCATCAAGACATTGTTGACAGAAAATCCAGCTTTTTGCTTACCAGAGATGAGTACATTTTCATTTTACTGCATCCTGGAAAACATCAAAAAATGTTAATCTTCTTGTTAATTAATAAGGCTAACATTGGAAACAAGCTCATAATGCACTACTAGGTCTTTTGCATCAAAAATCATAAGTATCACCTTTCCCTTGAATCTGTCAGCACAAATTTTTTCCTGCCTAGTTGAAGAGACTAATTTCCATGTCAATGAGATACATTTCCATCATGGGTCATATAGAAACAAGGTTTCATCATCAATAATCACTCTGTTTAGGTCATAAATCTTTATCAACTCTGTCAATCAGTTCTTCACGAATGAATGCATATTTTTTATGTTGCTCATCTGTTAATTTCCTTGGAATAATGTAAGATGAATGCATTTTCAAGTCATCACAAATAATGTTAGCATCTTCTATTGATTCATGGCCTTCTTTAATACATTTATAATGGTCAACTACTTGTGTATACAACATGATATTATTACCACATGTTTCTATAACAGATTTAATGTTTTATTAAAGTTTCACCAAATAATTTAGCATTAATTTGCTACCTTGTGATGCATCATTTAAGAATTCCAGCAAACACCTCTGCATTATAACAGTTATTTTTTTTTAACAGTGCTACTAACCTTATTTATTGAATTTACCTCAATTATATCTACATAAGAAGTTAATTAATTTAACTGTGCTAGAAATGTCTACTTTGGAAAGTTTTTTCACAGATTATTAAGCACTTCTGTTTTGCTGTTTTATTACATTAGTAATGCCACAATATGTTAGCATTATTGATGCAAATTTGTTATAGTTTTTATCATATAAAATACACTACTTAACACTGACAGCATATTTACTCAGTATAATTTATCTTTATATTTCATATGCATCTCATTTTGGAAACATCAATGAAACAATCATCTCCATAATGTTTTATTATGATGATAAAAATTCTCAAAAATAGACATGCAAATTCAGCAAAAAGTGATGGTTATGCCAATGCTAAAATGGATAATAGCAATCAATACTATATTGATTATTGATCATAATCTCAGAAAAAAAGATACTTTCTAGATAAACTGTTTATTTTACCTGTATTCTTCAAAATGAGATGCCAAACTCTATAGGAATATATAAGAGAGATGATGTTCTCAAATTTTATTAATTCTTTTTAATATTTTTAATACAATTTTATATGCCTTAAATGAATTTAAATATTTCATAATTTTAAAAAAATTTACATGAAAAGATACACCTTGACTTATGATGGCCTTCATTTTGACAGTATGGTTGTAAATTCATTTGGTCATACGAATGACATAATATAAAAACACAATGCCAGATAGTAAAAGAGAAGTAAAGTGATCACCACAAAAGTATCATACTGTCATACATTTTTATGCTAAGGTGATTATAAACATTAATTGATGTTAGAAATGACAAAAATAGAATGTACCATACTTTCCATTTAATAGTTGTTATAAAGTATTATAGAAAATATGAAGTTATGTGTACAGTTGTATGTCAAGGGGTTATAGATTTGGGTATATCTGTATATTTTAAAACCTTGATTATTCTGTAAACAACTTCCTAGTTTCTAATTTGTTACTGACTTAAATTTTAGTCTCTAAAATTAAAATAATATGTGAAAGTGAAATATAATAATGCAGAAACAAATGCAATAACATTGCACTGCAAACAATTCACAAATATAAATGGTAAATTCTAAATAAACACTAATTCAAATGACAAACTCTCAATTTTAAAGTCAATATTTTTGCAAAATATTTTTATCTGATCCTACACTAAGGTTTATTTGAGAAAATAATCACATTTTTAGCATTATCAAACATGTTTTGTTTCACAAAAGCTATGATAAACTTCTCAGGAATGTAGCAGAAAATTTTACAATGAAAATGCTGATTAATTTATGAGATAAATTCTCAAACAGACCTTTATGACCCAGACAATAAATATCAAATGTTTTGTGAGCTGTATGCTTCATACATAGTGTTCATACATACAAAAATTGAATGACAACAATTCAATTTTTAATAAAATTGTTAATGAAAACAACAGTTTGATTATACAAATTGAAAAAAAAATTCATAACTGTCTATTTTTATCATTGTATTCTAAATCTCTCAGCTCTCAAATAATTAATAATAATCATATTGCAAAAGTATATTCAAAATACATAAACCTACCAATGGTCAAGTGAATACAATCACTAAACAGTGGTAGCTGGTTACAGATTGCCACACCAAATGAGCTAGTGATGTAGTGTTTTCTGGTTTTTCTTCATGTACCTATCACTTAAATTGGGGCCAGTTTCTCATAAAAGTTCTCCTGAGAGGCATTCCCTTTGGCAGATTGCACATGTGTTGCATTGCCATATCCCACCAAACCAAACCAA